GGAGTATAGCCATATAGGGACAATTCAGCACTTGGAGTATAGCCATATAGGGACAATTCAGCACTTGGAGTATAGCCATATAGGGATAATTCAGCACCACAAGGGTTAATACTAATGTAGATTCACTTTAGTCCTTAGTTGAACATGTTTCAATTGACACTGATTCGAACTACTAGCAGCCATCTTGAATTTTGGATCGTTAAATTTGTTCTTGCTTTATGTTGAGAAATACTTACAATGTTCCCAGCATGCTTATTTTGTTAAATATGGCAGGATTTAATGCAATGACCCTTAAGTTGTGATCTTTGATTAAGTACCCATTAAAATTATATTGCTGGATTTGTACATGGAAACAAAAATTGTAAATAAAATGTTGATAGAAGTCATGCTATATTTCAGAGCCGGATGTTGGCATGTCTCAGGGAGACGCTAACAAGTATTTCAAACAGCTTCTGGCAGGAGTGGTGAGTAGCTCTACTTCATGTTAGCTCAATTTACGAAAAAGTCCCCTTTTTAGGTCACCTGAGCTTTAGCTCAAGTGACCTATTGCTATCCGTTTTCGTCCGTCGTCGTCCGTCGTCCGTCGTCCGTTAACATTTTACATTTCAAACTTAAAGTCAAGTTCTGCTGGGCCGATTGAACTGAAAGTTGGTAGGAATGATCGCCTCATGGTCCTGACAAAGTGTTGTTATTTTTCGGGTCGATCAGAAATCCAATATGGCCGCCACGGCCGCCATTTTGAAAACCTATTTCAAACTTAAAGTCAAGTTCTGCTGGACCGATTGAACTGAAAGTTGGTAGGAATGATCGCCTCATGGTCCTGACAAAGTGTTGTTATTTTTCGGGTCGATCAGAAATCCAATATGGCCGCCACGGCCGCCATTTTGAAAACCTATTTCAAACTTAAAGTCAAGTTCTGCTGGACCGATTGAACTGAAAGTTGGTAGGAATGATCGCCTCATGGTCCTGACAAAGTGTTGTTATTTTTCGGGTCGATCAGAAATCCAATATGGCCGCCACGGCCGCCATTTTGAAAACCTATTTCAAACTTAAAGTCAAGTTCTGCTGGACCGATTGAACTGAAAGTTGGTAGGAATGATCGCCTCATGGTCCTGACAAAGTGTTGTTATTTTTCGGGTCAATCAGAAATACAATTTGGCTGCCATGGCCGCTATTTTGCTACTAAGTTCTAATAGGCCGATCTCACTTAAAATTGGTCTAGGAATGATCAGCTCATGGTCCTGACAAAGTTAAGTTAACATTATACTATTTTTTACTCAAATTGGTACATATTTCAACAACAAAAATAAATACTGTAGACTCAGGTGACCGTTTAGGCCCATGGGCCTCTTGTTAATCTCACTTTCTAATACAATTTTGTTCGCATATTCTTTGAAAGGAAGGTGTGGAGGAGAAATATTAAAAAAAAAATGAAAGCAAGCAATATCAGTAATGTTCATCTTCTTTAACCCTTTCACCACTGTAGACCATAATGGACTCATCCCGATCAATGCACGGTAGAGTTTACTTAAGTTACATAAGGGTAGAGGGTTAACATAGTTTTGTTCCGGGTAAAGTACTCAAAACTATCCCCTGCAACTTGTTTCTGTTGATTACTCAACATGCCTCTCTGCACTGTTTACTAGAAGCTGAACCCTTTATTTGCCCCTTTTATTGTGATAGGTAGTTGACCCCAGAACTTGCTTAGAAACAGCTAAATGTGCACCATCATTTTGTGTCTAGTTAGTAACGGATAAATTTGCACTCGTAACTTTGTGTCTGGTGGGTAGCAGCTGCCCTTTTAAGTTAATTACCGGAAGCTGACTCCTAAACTAGCCCAGTAGCTTTGTGTCTGGTTGGTAGCAGCTGCCCTTTTAAGTTAATTACCGGAAGCTGACCCCTAAACTTGCCCCGGTAACATTGTGTCTGGTTGGTAGCAGCTGCCCTTTTAATTTAATTACCGGAAGCTGACTCCTAAACTAGCCCAGTAGCTTTGTGTCTGGTTGGTAGCAGCTTCCCTTTTAAGTTAATTACCGGAAGCTGACCCCTAAACTTGCCCCGGTAACATTGTGTCTGGTTGGTAGCAGCTGCCCTTTTAATTTAATTACCGGAAGCTGACTCCTAAACTAGCCCAGTAGCTTTGTGTCTGGTTGGTAGCAGCTGCCCTTTTAAGTTAATTACCGGAAGTTGACCCTAAACTTGCCCCAGTAGATTTGTGTCTGGTGGGTAGCAGCTGCCCTTTTAAGTTAATTACTGGAAGCTGCCCCTAAACTTGCCCCAGTAGCTTTGTGTCTGGTGGGGAGCAGCTGCCCTTTTAAGTTAATTACCGGAAGCAGACCCCTAAACTTGCCCCAGTAACATTGTGTCTGGTTGGTAACAGCTGCCCTTTTAAGTTAATTACCGGAAGCTGACTCCTAAACTAGCCCAGTAGCTTTGTGTCTGGCTGGTAGCAGCTGCCCTTTTAAGTTAATTACCGGAAGCTGACTCCTAAACTAGCCCAGTAGCTTTGTGTCTGGTTGGTAGCAGCTGCCCTTTTAAGTTAATTACCGGAAGCAGACCCCTAAACTTGCCCCAGTAACATTGTGTCTGGTTGGTAGCAGCCGCCCTTTTAAGTTAATTACCGGAAGCTGACCCCTAAACTTGCCCCAGTAACATTGTGTCTGGTTGGTAACAGCTGCCCTTTTAAGTTAATTACCGGAAGCTGACTCCTAAACTAGCCCAGTAGCTTTGTGTCTGGTTGGTAGCAGCTTCCCTTTTAAGTTAATTACCGGAAGCTGACCCCTAAACTTGCCCCAGTAACATTGTGTCTGGTTGGTAACAGCTGCCCTTTTAAGTTAATTACCGGAAGCTGACCCCTAAACTTGCCCCAGTAACTTTGTGTCTGATGGGGAGCAGCTGCCCTTTTAAGTTAATTACCGGAAGCGGACCCCTAAACTTGCCCCCGTAGCTTTGTTTCTGGTGGGTAGCAGCTGCCCTTTTAAGTTAATTACCGGAAGCGGACCCCTAAACTTGCCCCCGTAGCTTTGTTTCTGGTGGGTAGCAGCTGCCCTTTTAAGTTAATTACTGGAAGCTGACCCTAAACTTGCCCCAGTAGCTTTGTGTCTGGTGGGGAGCAGCTGCCCTTTTAAGTTAATTACCGGAAGCTGACCCCTAAACTTGCCCCAGTAACTCACCATCATTTTGTGTCTAGTTAGTAACGGATAAATTTGCACTCGTAACTTTGTGTCTGGTTGGTAGCAGCTGCCCTTTTAAGTTAATTACCGGAAGCTGACCCCTAAACTTGCCCCAGTAACTCACCATCATTTTGTGTCTAGTTAGTAACGGATAAATTTGCACTCGTAACTTTGTGTCTGGTTGGTAGCAGCTGCCCTTTTAAGTTAATTACCGGAAGTTGACCCTAAACTTGCCCCAGTAGATTTGTGTCTGGTGGGTAGCAGCTGCCCTTTTAAGTTAATTACCGGAAGCTGCCCCTAAACTTGCCCCAGTTGCTTTGTGACTAGTAAGGGATTACCTTGTCCCAGTAAAGTTGTACTGTATATATTTACAGGAGTACCTACACAGCCGCGGCGTCACACATCGAGACCTGAAGCCAGAGAATGTCCTCCTGGATGATTTTGGTGAGTATGATGTTCTCCTTTTCACTGATAATAATAATAATTTGCGGTTCTTATATACCGCATTATTACAACCTAGTTCGTAGGTCGTCTCAAAGTGGTTCACAAATTATTATCCGTGGTTATAGGGCCTTTGCAACCAGCCAATATATTTCTCAACTCCCTGGGGAGCATACAGCCGGTGCTGCCATTTCGACTCTCACAGCTAGCATTCTACAATTCTTGCACTACCCAACCACGTACTCATTTACAGCTGAGTAGACTGGAACAAGCGAAGTAAAGTATCTTGCTCAAAGTTACAACACAATGCTGTGCTGTGACTCGAACCCACAACCCTTCGGTCACGAGCCCGGCTTCCTACCACTAGACTACTGTGTCTCCTGATGGATTTGTTTGCATTACAAAAGTTAAAAGATTAATACATAGGAGACAGCACAATAGTGCTGGCACAATATTTGTGTAACATTACGCCTTGCTTGCAATCTGGTACAAATCTATAAGTCTAAATTAGTTGAAAGACTCAAAACAACAGCGCTACGTACAATTATTTGGACTGTATTATCGCAAATAGAAATTTGATTTATTTTACAACACTAATGAAACAAGTACATCAAATTATATTAATAACTCTTAAATTTGCCTGAATGGCAGAGCACAGGGTATCTTAATATGGGTGGCAATCAGAAAACCCAGAGAAAACCCAGGTGGTCAGGCAGGTAGTCTATATCTTTTTAAAAGGGGAATTGTAAGGAAGCCCAACTGTCTTACAAAATGTTACATTATAGTTCTCGCAGGCCTAACCCCTATGGTACCAGTACGCAGTTAATACAGGAATCTGGTTTCCTTTAATATGGAAAACTCACAATCTACACTCATTCTGTATTTCCAAAATGATAACTGTACTGGTTTGTCTACAAAGTAACATTCAGGATCCAGAAAAAATGTGTTAACAATACAAAACAGATGGTAATGTTCACTGTCATTATCCAAAATAATTTGCTGGTAGGAAATTTGTCTTGGTATCAACTGCTTATGATAATGATCATATGGACACATTCGGAATAATAATAATATATACAACATTTGATATAGCGCCCTAATGACATAGTTACTGACACACTAAGTAACATATTGACACAGTGAGAATTGTACAATTGTTGAGTGGTTGGATGGCGCAGCAGATACGCACTCGCCTTTCACCAAGGCGACTGGGGTTTGATTTCTCGATCAGACAGAAAAAGGTATGGGGCCCGGGTCACCTGCCCGACCAGGTGGGTTTTCTCCGGGTGCTCCGGTATCCTTCCACATCAAGATCCCCTGCACTCTAATTTCTGGGCCAACAAGTGTGATAACTATAAGTTGAAATAACTTGTTTAATTATTGTTGTAAAAAACATGAAATTCAGTTTTGATTTTATTTTTAGAATTGTTGAAAATCAATATATTAGAAAACATTGACAAATGATGATATATGAGATATTGCCAATGTGGAAATTTGAAATCAGATTTTTTGTTGTTGACTATTTTCAAAATATTTCACTAACATTATGTTATGCTATACAGTCCTCTTTCCTTTTATACTTTGCAGACAATTTGAGGATATCTGACTTTGGTCTTGCTACTGTGTTCCGTTACCAAGGCAACGAGCGGCTACTAGAACGCTGTTGTGGCACTGTGCCATACGTAGCGCCGGAGGTGATCAGTCGCAAGCCGTACCACGCAGAGCCTGCAGACGTGTGGTCGTGTGCTATCATACTTGTAGCTCTCCTGGCTGGAGGTAGGTTTAATTCCATCACGTTGGACTGTTTTAGTTTGTGTTACTGTAATCAACCACAAATCAGCCCCTCTCCTAGTAAATAAAGATTGACCAAAAGTGTTGGGAGGTTGCTCATTTGCAAGCTTTCTCCCCCCATCTTCAATATCCCCCAGTTTTGAATTTTGACCACACTTAATGTCTTGTTAACATTTCCTGTACTTATGCATTATGGTATATATCATCAAGTAAGGCCAAAACGAATTACTTGTTTTTCCGCAATCATCCTCAGAAAAAATAGGGTTTGTAGGTAGGCAGTTTTGTGTATTTTGTGAAATATTTTATTAGGTCACCTGAGCTTTGCTCAAGTGACCTATTCCAATCGCTTTTCGTCCGTCGTCGTCCGTCGTGCGTCGTGCGTAAACTTTTACATTTTCAACTTCTTCTCAAGAACCAGTGGATGGATTTTTTTCAAACTTGGTCAGAATCATCCTTGGTAGATGAGGCTTCAAAATTGTAAAATTGGGATTCCTACCCCAACCCCTGGGGCCAGGGCGGGGCCCCAAAGGGAAAATTATCCAATATTTCAAAAATCTTCTTCTCCAGACTCAGAGGTACTACAGTGATTTTCTCTACGTGGAAAGAAAGATCATCAGGGGCTTTACTTAAATTGTAAATTTCAGGACCCCCGAGCTATCCGTTCTCCCTTGGGGAGGGGGTAAAGTTTACTATAGTTTATATAGGGAAATAACACTTTTGGGTATATTTTGACAACTTTCTGTAGGAAATTATTTTTACTTGGTGAGAATTATCCTTGGAGGTAGATGGTTTCAAATTGTAAAATTGAGATTCCTACCCCGACCCCTGGGGCCAGGGCGGGGCCCCAAAGGGAAAATTAATCAATATTTCAAAAATCTTCTTCTCCAGACTCAGAGGTACTACAGTGATTTTCTCTACGTGGAAAGAAAGATCATCAGGGGCTTTACTTAAATTGTAAATTTCAGGACCCCCGAGCTATCCGTTCTCCCTTGGGGAGGGGGTAAAGTTTACTATAGTTTATATAGGGAAATAACACTTTTGGGTATATTTTGACAACTTTCTGTAGGAAATTATTTTTACTTGGTGAGAATTATCCTTGGAGGTAGATGGTTTCAAATTGTAAAATTGAGATTCCTACCCCGACCCCTGGGGCCAGGGCGGGGCCCCAAAGGGAAAATTAATCAATATTTCAAAAATCTTCTTCTCCAGACTCAGAGGTACTACAGTGATTTTCTCTACGTGGAAAGAAAGATCATCAGGGGCTTTACTTAAATTGTAAATTTCAGGACCCCCGAGCTATCCGTTCTCCCTTGGGGAGGGGGTAAAGTTTACTATAGTTTATATAGGGAAATAACACTTTTGGGTATATTTTGACAACTTTCTGTAGGAAATTATTTTTACTTGGTGAGAATTATCCTTGGAGGTAGATGGTTTCAAATTGTAAAATTGAGATTCCTACCCCGACCCCTGGGGCCAGGGCGGGGCCCCAAAGGGAAAATTAATCAATATTTCAAAAATCTTCTTCTCCAGACTCAGAGGTACTACAGTGATTTTCTTTACGTGGAAAGAAAGATCATCAGGGGCTTTATTTAAATTGAAAATATCAGGACCCCGAGCTATCCGTTCTCCCTTGGGGAGGGGTTAACGTTTAATATAGTTTATATAGGGAAATAACACTTTTCGGTATATATTTTATATATTTTCAGCAGAAAATTGCTCAAACTTAGTCAGAATCATCTTGGGTAAATGAGAGTTTTACTTTGTAAAATTAGGATTCCTGCCCCATCCCCAGGGGCTAGAGCGGGGCCCCAAAGGAAACATTTACCAATATTTTCAAATTCTTATCCATTGATGACATGACAAGTATTGAATTTCACTTAGTTTACATGCTGATTTCCACATCACATCTAAACAATAAAATAAAGCTACCAGTATCTATGATATAACTCAGGTGACCGCTAAGGCCCTTGGGCCTCTTGTTATACTTATATCGAGCAGGAGTTTTGACTTTAACAGGGCATATCACTAAATGCCATTAAAAACTTTATTTGGCCTAAATTAAATGTAATTGGTCTGTTTCTGAGTTTGAAACTCTTTAGAAAAGGAGGTGTACATGTCACAATCAACGTAGCATTTACCCTTAACATGTGTCGTATTGATGTTACAGAGTTGCCGTGGGACGAGCCGAACTACGGTTGTCAGGAGTACAGTGATTGGAAAGACTGCCGGATCACGGTCCCACCTTGGAGCAAGATCGACAACCTGGCACTGTGTAGGTACACTGGCAACCTGGGTTTCTGTTAATCCCAGGGCCGCAGTGGTTGAGTTGTTAAGGCGGCTTACTGTCAATGATCACTAGCCCTCCACCACTGGGTCACAGGTTTGAGGCCTACGTGGGGGAGTCACCAGGAACTGGCCACAGGTCGTTGGCTTAGATTTTCTCCAGGCACTCTGGTTTTCCTCCACCACCTAAACCTAAATCTCATAAAATGACCGTAGCTGTTTATAGGACGTAAAGCGCAAACAAACTAAACCATTAACCCCATATTGGAGTATATGAACTCCTGAAATGGCTTTTGACCCTGAAAATGTTAGAGGTTGGCCAGAATACATGATAAATTTTACCTATATTTTTTGTGTCCAGCAGAAACACTGCTGGGAACTGTGGAATGCGTTGACAGACATTCTCGTAACTAACGCGTTAGAAACATCAAAATTTTCAAAATAAAATAGCATAGTTCAAATTATAATGAAAATTCAATCGGAGAGATGCCCTGTAGGGGTCAAGAATTGTTTAACCCCACTGCTATGAAAGGCGAGGGTATTATGTTTAGTCACCTTTGTCTGTAACACTTTCTGTATTCTCTGGACAGATAATGAATGTGTCTTCACGCTGTACTACTTTGTCAAGGACATGTCACACATGTTTCTGTCACCTAAAATTACAAAATTTTATATTCCAGTACCTGTTTGGAATGTGAGATTGCATTGAATTTATAGATTTATGGGCCTACATTCATTCTGGTTTTAAAGTGATATGTATGTTTACCGGCATGGGCTGTGTTGCAATCTCATAGGAAAGCTCTAGTTTTAGATAAGAATATCATGTGATGTGATAATCACAAGATTTTGGTTATGAAATATCATATATGAGAAGTGCACCCTATACACAAATAATTCTAAAATTTATGACCAAGGAAAAGTCACTTTTTGGGGCTTTTCCTGAGGTCAATATATAGTGTGAATAACGGGTTGAGGTAAAGAACAAAATATTTTTTGTGAGTGTTGGGGGGGGGGGGGGGGGGGGGGGGGGGGAATGATTTGTACCTCCCTCCCCACCCTCACTAGTTACCAAAACATGATAACCAACTAGCATTCATTGAGAACTTTTTTGATAAATTTCTGGAGTATTTGACAGAAATAGATGCAGGTGAACACATAGTTATCTCCCTTTGCATCTATGATTGTAGCTTTACTACGGAAGCTGCTGGTGGAGAACGCCTCAAAGAGATTTACAATCCGACAGATCAAGGGACATCAGTGGATCAACAAAAACTTCAACAAGTCTCATAAAGGTAGGTGGCTAAGATATTTGTCTGCTTCTGTTTACCATGTTCAACGGTTTCGACTGACACTGACCTGAAGAAAAATTGTGATTGTGTGAGTTTGGACTTGAATGAGGGAGATTGGCAAATTTTGGTCAAAATGAGGGAGTCTCCTTCCTTAAAGGAGGGTTGACAGCTATGAGATTGTGGGATCCAATCTGGTCGAATCTTAACAGCTGACATTAGTTTTGTTGTATTTCTACATACGAAGGTATATTTTAGGTATTGTTATAAAATTTAGTGCATGATAAAGAAGCACTCACAATTCTTGGTTCATTGCTATTTGCTAGACAGAAAACTCTTAAACTGTGAATTTTTGGGCTATACCTATTAGCTTGGTTTAATAATTGTCTAAATGATTTTGTTTTTCAATGAATATATCTGTTCTTCCTTGATTGTTTCAACCAGATAAACCAAAATGGTTGTATTTATATATGAGCATGATTATGGGTCAGCTATACATGTGCTTGCGTATATTTGAACAGGGTCCTGGGGTCGCCTACCGTCAGGGTCACCAGGAGATTCTCCGTGTGGCACGGGTCCATTCAAGAGAGTCTGTTCTGGGTTGTCTCCCCCTGCACATGGTCCAGACAGGTAAGAATTGGTCCACGTTTATTGGTTTTCTCTCCTCAGGTATTGGTCGAGGGCATGCATATGGACCAGGATTGTTATTTTTTAAGGAGGATTTATCCTGATTCCGGACTTGACATGGTTCAAAAAATAAATGGTGTTATTCAATTTCCTAACCAAATAACAATTCGTTGTTACAATTTGTATGGGTAATTTTCTACTATATTCAAAAAAAAAATACATGTGTCTAACTATGTTAAATTTTGGTCTTTCCACAAATTCCATGAGTCACATCAAAATATTTCAAGTGTAGGACCTGGTATTCATTTAAGGATTTGATGATGTGAAAATTTCCTCAACCCCCCTCCCCTATGCCTTTCTGTTTTATATCATGGTGGAGAACTTTTGTTGACAATAAATAACGTGCCCTGAATATTTGAATCGCTGCAAAGTTCCAGTAGGAGGTTAACTGATTCACCCCCTGAAGACACATTTGAACTCATCCAATTCAAAGGTTGGAATAGTTCATTATAAAATTTCAGGGGTGAATGAGTCGGTGATGTTTGGGACACAGTTTTTTGAGTACTGGACTCGAGCTTTTCCTATGAGACATACTCCAACATATTTTTAGAATCCATCAAATCTTTTAGTAATGGGGACTCTTCACATTTTGATAATGATGTTCATGACTTGTCTGAAAAAATCCTTTAAAAATCTTTGACTTGCCAGTGGGGGTTTTTCGGGAATTATCCTAATCAAAATTATCCCAATAATTGACAATCCAGTTCACAGTTAAGCCTCTTTAGCTGGGATTAGAGGTGACTTAACCAACAGGACATATTTCCATGTATATAAAATCTAAAACTGCATGTTTTATTTGCTTACAGTGACATTGTGCGGATGTCATCATCCCAGCCCGACCCTCAACAGCTTCCAGGTGGGACGGGGGACACGAGTCAAACCTCGGTGGACGCTGTCTTCAGTTTCTCCCAGCCCGTTCATCCAGAGAACATGTTCCTCAGTAGCCAGTTCCAGGGAACACCCGGGTTATCACAGGTAAATACTCTGGGAACATGTCACATGGAACATTGAGATGTGACAATTAGTCGAGGGAGCATGTCACAGGGAACATTGAGATGTAACAATTAGTCAGGGGAACATGTCAAAGGGAACATTGAGATTTGCCAGGTGGCCGGGGGAACATGTCACTGGGAACATTGAGATGTGACAATTAGTCAGGGGAACATGTCACTGGGAACATTGAGATGTGACAATTAGTCGGGGGAACATGTCACTGGGAACATTGAGATGTGACAATTAGCCGGGGGAACATGTCACTGGGAACATTGAGATTTGATAGGTCACTGTTTGCTCTTGTCTTCCTATTCTCAAACCTCAGATGGGGATATCCTATGTGATACCATGTGCTAGATTTTTTCTATCTTGTTGGAACTGTCTGGCACCTCTCCACTACATTTTGTGGAATTTGCACACAGCGATGTTTTTATCCGTGTGCTAATGGCTCAAAATTGATAATCTGCCATAGAAATAATCTGTATTGTAGTTATATGTTTTGTTTTGACGTTGTTAATATTTCAAATGTTGTAGAAAAAAATGTATCTACACTGAGAAATATGTTGTCTTCTTTATAAGGACTGACTACATTGAATGTACGGAAGCATTACAGTCGTAGCTGTAGTAGTGAAAAGGCCATATTTAATTTAGGCCCCCACCGGAGTACTTGTAGACTTGAGAGAAATTTAATAGTTTTTCCAACTAAAAGGTGCAAGAAAAAAATCAGGTAAACTCATTCTGGGGCTAAGATTCTGTAACGCCTTGGTTGGAAATAAATATGTTGGCTATAGGACTTGACTGATATAAGCCTATTTCACTCAGTTGCAGAAAATAGATGTTTTTAGAGTAAAAAGGGATATCAACATTCTAGAAGGTAAACTTGACAGACTGTTGTTATCATGTTAGTGGTGGTTTACTGAGTACTCTAAATTACACAAGCCTTTGAAAATATGTAGTCCCAACAGTTTTTGCAAGTGGGTTGGTGTGAAGGCTAAATGGTTTTTATTTCTTCTGTGAACTATGTTTATACTTACATTTGTACCGACTCAAATTCTGCCTATGCACACAAGATTGTTTTGTTAATGTGCAAATGAAATGAATTTGCCCAACCTACCCATTACATGAATTGTAATAAGAAATGAGAGACCTATTGTTTTGTTGTTGTAGACACCACTGCAGAAGATGGTGAGGCGGATGACCAGGTTCTTTGTGCGGGGGGACAAGGAAGGCAGTATGGATGAACTGGAGCGGGTCCTCCAACAGCTTGGGTACAACTACAAACGTAACTCTCCCGGCATGGTAGGTTCTAGGGGACATAACTCTCCTCCACAGCAGGTACCAGGGGACATAACTCTCCTGGCATGGTAGGTTCTAGTGGCCATAACTCTCCTGGCATGGTAGGTTCTAGGGGACATAACTCTCCTGGCATAGTAGGTTCTAGGGGGCATAACTCTCCTGGCACAGCGAGTACAGGGAGGCATAGCTCTCCTCGCCATCAGGTACCAGAGGACATAACTCTCCTGGCATAGCAGGTACAAGGGGGCATAGCTTTCCTCGCCATCAGGTACCAGAGGACATAACTCTCCTGGCATAACAAGGACAAGGGGGCATAGCTCTTCTGGCATAGCAAGTACAAGGGGGCATGACTCTCTTGGCACAGCAGGTACCAGGGGGCATAACTCTCCAGTCATGGTACCTATCAGATGTGTTAGGTACCAGGGGGATATAATTCCAGGGATTTTTTGGGGACAACAGTGCTCAGAGTGTAAAAGAATCAGTGGGGCTGGACAACGATTTAAACCTTAGACTTCAGATTGATGTACTATTGTTATAACTGATTGAGCTACCTGGTCAAATGAAGTGCCCAGGCAAAACTGTGCTACAGTTATATCCAAATGGCAGCTCAGGGGAGGTAACTGTATACCGGAAAGCCTGCAGTGCGGTGGGACAGGGATCCTAAACAGTGTTGAAATCTTAGCTGCTGGTACAGGTTGGTTTGTATCAGGGTTAACCTAGTTGTACTGCTAAACTAACCCTGTAAAATGTTATTGATCATAAAACTTAATTGGGTGTGTCATACGCAACAATTGATCTGTACAGTTCGCCAAAATATGATAATCACCAATGAAATAATTCACTGATTTAATCCTCATCAACATAAACATAAGCCTCAACAATATCAATAAAATTAGAATGACATAAAAAAACAAGAGGCACAGAGGGCCTGTATCGCCCACCTGTTTCTTTTGTTACATGCAACTGACATATAGGTAACTTAAGACCAAATTTGGTAACTAGAACAAAATTAACACTGGGCATATATGAACTTCAGCAGTAAAGGGGGAAAGTTTGACACCACAAAAGTGTCCTTTTATGTACCTGTACATGTAGTAAAGTCACAGGTACAAGCCTGGTCTGTCAATACACCTATAATATAATCGTAATCATAGGTGTATTGATAGACGAGGCTAGTACCTGTGGTAAAGTTTACAATATAAATATATAAACTTTATTAATTTTACAACAATTATGAAACAAGTTTTTACAACTTACATTAATCACTCATGTTGGCTCGGATGTTAGCGTGCGGGACAGTTTACATTATAAAGTTACAGTAATTCATATAGTCGTCATGAAATGAGAATTAAACAGCAACATTTTATATTTAGGCCACAGTGAGTGCCCATGACCGAAGGAAGATGTCCCTAGTGTTCAAGGCCTGTCTACTGGAGATGGGAGAAAATCTGCTGATGGACTTCCGACTGTCTAAGGTAAAGTGTTGTTCCTCATCTAGAGAGAAGAATTTATATCTATTAAACATATGCTTTTATTGGTAAGATACTTATTCAACACACTTTACCTCGAAAATTATGCTTTGTTATCGCACTGAATCCCCTATAGATGTGCAATGTAAGGTTACTAGGTTCCTTTAATTCTGTGATCATCCTCGATATCCAAGGGTTACGTTCACTTTCGCTCTCTGCACCCCTGAAATATGTCATAGCAAAATCGAAGGCTCAGTGTGCACCACCTTGTTGGCGACAAGAAGACTAGTTTCATCCTTAACTTACTGGCTTTTAATTCAGACTTTGCTCCTCTGCAATTTTTAAAGGACAAGTATCAAGTTTTTTTTACCTGACACCAATCAAATAGCTAGCCATGTGCCTTCGATTTTGCTGACATATTACAGGGGTGGAAAGAGCGAAAGTGAGTGTAACCCCCAGATATCGAGGATGAATATTATTTTATAAAACTACTACATAAATATGTTACTATAACGAAAATTTGTCATGCACCGTAACCCTTTCACCCCTATGTAACTTTAGTAGACTATACCATGTATTGATCTGGATGAGTCCATTTTGGTCTACAGTGGTGAAAGGGTCAAGCAGCGTCAAGCCGGTGAGGTCATAGCAATGTATCATGATGTTTGGTATGTTTATGATGATTCATTCGCATACAGATTTAAAAATCAAGGTTACACTCAAGGTTCAAAGGTCAAATCTTTCACAAGACGTGTTTTCAATGAAACATCATAGATATGTGTGTGTGTCGGAGACCATTTTCTATCAAAGTATATATGATTCTGTCAATGTGTCTGGCATTATTCCACCCAAGAAAACCTGGAGAAAAAGCAAAGGGACATAAAAGATTTTCATTAGGTTATGTTAGTTTGGTAGGCATGCATAGAAAGTTACTGTGGGAAATGCATCCCAAAGTTAAGAATAGACTTTATTAGTTTCCTTAAGTTGAGTACAGTACCCAAGAATCAAGTATAGTATCCCTCAGTTGAGTTTAGTATCCTAAAGTTGATTATAGTATTCCTCAGTTGAGTTTAGTATCCTAAAGTTGATTATAGTATTTCTCAGTTGATTATAGTATCCCTCAGTTGATTATAGTATCTTACAGTTGATTATAGTATCTCACATTTGATTATAGTATCCCTCAGTTGATTATAGTATCACACAGTTGATTATAGTATCCCACAGTTGAGTATAGTATCCCTCAGTTGATTATAGTATTCCTCAGTTGAGTTTAGTATCCTAAAGTTGATTATAGTATTCCTCATTTGAGTTTAGTATCCTAAAGTTGATTATAGTATTTCTCAGTTGATTATAGTATCCCTCAGTTGATTATAGTATCTTTCAGTTGATTATAGTATCCCTCAGTTGATTATAGTATCACACAGTTGATTATAGTATCCCTCAGTTGATTATAGTATCCCTCAGTTGATTATAGTATCCCTCAGTTGATTATAGTATCCCTCAGTTGAGTATAGTATCCCTCAGTTGAGTATAGTATCCCTCAGTTGATTATAGTATCTTACAGTTGATTATAGTATCCCTCAGTTGATTATAGTATCTCACAGTTGATTATAGTATCCCTCAGTTGATTATAGTATCCCACAGTTGATTATAGTATCCCTCAGTTGATTATAGTATCCCAAAGTTGATTATAGTATCCCTCAGTTGAGCAGAGTATCACACAGTTGATTATAGTATCCCTCAGTTGCGTATAGTATCCCTCAGTTGAGTATAGTATCCCTGAGTTGATTATAGTATAGTATCCCTCAGTTGATTATAGTATCCCTCAGTTGATTATAGTATCTCACAGTTGATTATAGTATCCATCAGTTGATTATAGTATCCCTCAGTTGATTATAGTATCCCTCAGTTGATTATAGTATCCCAAAGTTGATTATAGTATCCCTCAGTTGAGTATAGTATCCCTCAGTTGATTATAGTAACCCTCAGTTGATTATAGTATCACACAGTTGAGTATAGTATCACACAGTTGATTATAGTATCCCACAGTTGAGTATAGTATCCCTCAGTTGATTATAGTATCTCACAGTTGATTATAGTATCCGTCAGTTGATTATAGTATCTCACAGTTGATTATAGTATCCCTCAGTTGATTATAGTATCACACAGTTGATTATAGTATCCTTCAGTCGATTATAGTATCCCTCAGTTGATTATAGTATCCCAAAGTTGATTATAGTATCTAGGAGTCAAGAATGGTATTCAGAGTCGCCTATAGTATATAGAGTTAAGTATAACAAAATCAAGTAGGCTACCATAGAGCCAAGTGTATTATTCTCTGTTGTACATGAAACACTGTGTTTATTAGTCCCCAGTTGGTTCCTGGGGAGGGACTATAGGTTTACCACTCTGCCTGTCTGAATTCCGTCCGATTCCAAAAGTTTGTCTGGGGCATATCTTCTATACTGTTCCACCTGGAGTAACAAGATTTGGTATACAAGTATGTCTTGTCTGGCAGAGTGCGGAGTACAAGAAGAAGTATGACTCTGTGAACGATCCTGAGATAGGTGCAGCGCTCGATAAATAAAGAAATTGTTACCGTTAGGTGACTATTGATTGCCTTGTTATATTTGTAGCAATAAAGGATCATAAGAAATGTTGATAATAGAGTCGTAGAAAATCTTCTTTTTTTGGAGACTCATATCCCTTTAAATGATCATCAGTCACCTGTAATGATCTCTGGGAAAGTATATTCCGTCTTTTCGTATTGCAGAGTTATCTGTTCTTGTGAGCAGGTATTGATTGTTAGGTCATTAGTTTTGTGATAAATTACGTCGTTTTCTCAAAAATTTATGACGTTACTCTAACAAACAAATGACGTAACAATCAATACCTGCTCAGAAGAGCAGATAACTCTGCAATACGAAAAGACGGAATACACCCAGAGAGAAGAGCGACACGTAGACGTTGGGCTGTCCGTAATACTCGTTAAACATATAAAGATTTAAATTAAAACACCCAGAAATACATATTTTGGTTTACTTTGTAGGGAGATGGACTCGAATTCAAAAGACATTTCATTAAGATAAAAGACAAGATGAAGGCAGTGGTCAGTAAGATGCCCCCTGCCTACCCTCTGGTGCCCTCACAGGTCGCCCCCCTGGACACACACTGATGTACATCGGCTGCCCACACTTGCCAGGTGTTTGAGGACCTATACTGACAGTGCAGGACAATGTCACGTGATCGCTGATGAGCTGATTTACAAATCGAACAATTGCTCAATTATATATACAACTTTATTGAGGTTGTTAGTAAAACTGATGTTTGATATGGAAGTATAAGGGTGAAAACTTGCCAGTTTACTTGAAATGTTGTGTACAGAGATTGACATTTTTTGAAAGTACCCTATTGAGAGTATTTTGTGCAATTACTGATTAAACCATGCACATTTGTTCTGGAAACAAAATGGTGAAAATTGGACTCAATTGTGAAATCGTAACTATACATTAGCTAAAATGGTTAATACTGTACTTAGAAATGCTAATTTACACTTAAAGATCCCTGTTACACTGCTGAAAACTGAAACTAAGCGTTGGAAACTGGTTTTGACAACATAACTATAGCCTTGATCAATCATTTTCTGAAAAGAAAATCATACCTCGCAGGAGTTTTGTGAGAAATAATAAAGATGACATAAACAAAATATATTTAACAACAGTGTTTGGGGTGTAAAAAAATAAAAAAAATAAGCTAGACCGGGTTTGAACCCTGGACTCCAAGTTGTTGTAACGCTCTTACCAATTGAGCTACCTGATCAATGGAAGTGGCTTGGCTAAACAGTGTTACAGTTACATCCAAATGGAAGTTAAAGGGAGGTCACTGTATATATACGAAAAACAACAGTGCAGTGGGACAGGGATCCTGAATTACAAAATTTATGACAAAATTGGTACATGTTTACATACATGTATAATGATACCAAAAACTAGTTTTAGTAGCTGTTGTTAAGATCTGAAGGTGCTTTAGCATTTAAGAGAATGATACCCTGATAACATGGACGAGGATATATATATTATATATTATTGTATGTGCTTTCAAATTTTTCGGGTTTGGGTTTGGGTTTGGGTTTGGGGGGGGGGGGG